TCTTTCAAAATTGTAACACAAGACACAAGATATACTTCAAAAATGGCTACTCATTCTAATCTTTGTATCAGGCATCTTTTTGACTAAGTAAAAATATTCTCATTCCAAGTCCTTCACAGAAGTCAAGTGATAATGAACTAATTGCTCCTGAGCAAAACCAGTTACATTCACTATAGACTAGGGGAAAAAATTATTAAGCATAGCTCAATGTCTTAATTAGCTCTGATTCTGGTCTAACCAATTTGAATATTTATGTAGAATAATAGAAAATTACCTTAAAGCATTTATGGCAAGACAATCACACATTCTCATAAGCACAATATACCTGAAACTAAGCCTGACGCATCCACATCAGTTGTCTACCTACAGCAATATTATTTACTCTGTCACGCTCTGATTTTTTTTTTCCATTCATTTTCAAAAACATTTCTATACATATAAAATACATCTTATGTCAAGATGACAACTCTGGAGAGGAATTCGTTTTTCAGGGATTTGGCACTTTTTTAAATCTCCATCTCCAAGAAGTCTCTGGTTGTCAGCTTTCTTTAAAACAAGAAGTTTCCAAATATTAGGGATACAGAAAAAAAAAATTAAAAAAAAAAAATATATATATATATATATATATAGCTGACCTAGGTGTACCATGCAAGTTCATCAGAGGAATCCTTAGGGAAGAAGGTCTTTTCCCACTCCCCCCCAAAACCTGATTCATGACTTCTGAGCACATGAATTTGACAGCAATCCTTCCTTCCCCACCCTTCAAACTCTAACACTAGAAGCACTATTGAAACAGAGCTTGAAATCCCAAAAAATAATATTTTTTCTGAAATAGCAGGGAGCTGCATACTTCCCTGCCACAGGAGGGCACAAGGCAGTTACCTCTGCAGTACGCTCCACTCATTTCCTCTGGAGCCCAGAGCAAACCTTCAGAATTGCCAACAGCTGTGGGAGGAAGCAAGTCAGGGCTCCCAGACTGGGCAAGCAGTGATGGTAGGACTCAGCACAGTCCCCATGAATATAGGGCTGGAAAAGGATCAGGGAGCTGCTGATGACTGAGCCCCCATCAATGGGATGTTCACACTCACCCAGAGCTTTCTCCAGGTGAAAAAAGTCAGGAGAGTAAGAATTTGAGAATTTCATCAAGCAGCTTCATTTTGAGTGCCCATGGTCCCCCGAGGGCTCTTCTCACAGTGAAATATTCTGATTGTTAGCTCTGAAGCATTTCTTAACTAAAAGCTATACAACTGATGCTGAATAATCTCATACAGGCATGACTTTAAATTCCTATACTAAATAAATAGAAAATAGGTTTCCTAGATGCTATTTTTACAGTTATATCTATAAAGACTCTATTTGTAAATTCATTTCAGAGTTATATGTGTTGGGGATGTACAACTCAGAAATGTTCCTTCATCAAGCAAATTGCTCCTAGAGAGGGGATGTTTTACCTTTCAGAGACTATTGTGTAGATATTCAGACATTATCTTGGGATTCAGCAGAGCCAAGATAACTAGCTTTTTAAATTGCTTTTGATGTTTCTTACACCTACAGTAACATATGACATAAGAGCTATTTATTGTGATACATGTGCATCTGAAGACCATTATCATGCTGCATGTACTGGAAATGTTTTTGATATGTTAAACTAAACTGGCTTCGTATAGCCAGGACCAAAGGGAGCTGTAGAAAAGTAAAAGGCAGTATCTTCTCGTGTCCTTTTTTATCATTCTGATATGAATACTAGATGATATATAAACATACAATTCCTTACTCTGAAAAGTACTTTCCTTGGCCAACAGAATTTTCTCAACCTTCTATGAGGGAACAGATTTTCAGATACTTAAAATGACAAACTGTCCTATGAATGATGCTGAACATCACAAGCTGTTTTTCATTGCAAACCCTTCTCTCACTGGTTTTAGCAGAATGGAACTAAGACTGATTTTATTTTGCAATAATCTATCTGGATAAGAACACAGGACATGAATAAACAAAGGATTTCAAGCTCCCTCCACTTCCAGTGCAAAATAACGTAGGTATCGAGAACAGTTAGATCAAAAGCAAAGGAATAATGGAAATAAAAATATTTAAACTTTCACACAGGCTTTATGATCAAAGACAAAATCCAGAAGCAAAAAAATGAGATTATCTTCATTAGGACCCTACCGCTGGAAGCTGTATTGTGCTTTGTTTTACAAAGCACATCTGAGCATTCTTTACGCTTAAAATTACACCCATTTATGTAAATATTATTTCACAGACAGTAAATCAAAGTACCAGGAACAGAATTATTTGTGCGGTTTTGGACTGGTGGCTGAGTTGGCAATAAAATCAAATTTCCGGTGTTTCAGGCTACAACTCTGAGCAAGCAACTCTCCTTCCCACTCCACTGATTTCAACCTGAGCATTAGGTTGAATGAGAATTATATAGCTGAGAATTACCACAGGAGAAAAAATTGTGAGTAAGAATTAGCCGAGATGCATGAGTCAATTTAAGAAAGCTTAGGACAACTCCAGCTGCACTTGTTTAGGCAAAGCTAATTTCACTCCTAAAACAGCTTCTCATTAAATCACTATGTACGAAGACGGACACATATACACATACTCATTTTACGGATTCCATTAGACCAGTTACGTTTCTTTAAAGCACTAGCTCATCTCTCTGGGAAAGCTTCTTGGTGCTTTTTCCTGTTAAGTGTGAAACAGCTGAAACATCAAGCTCAGCTATGAAATCTCTCTGAGCAGAAGGGAGTGAAAGCAGTGGTTCCTCCTGGGGACACCCACCAACCCAGTGATGGATGCAAAGGGGCTCTTCTGAGCAGAGACACAAAACCTCAAAGCAAAGACCAAGTTCATTTTGTCTGTATAACACCACCCGACATGAAAATTAACTACCTACCTTTGTAAGAGAGATGCTTAGGGATTTGCCCAGGTGATACACCTCAGAGAGTAATAGGCTGCAATAAAAACTGGCAGCATCATTTCAGCAAGAATCTGCAATCCTAGAGGGGATAATGGTCACCTCCAGTTTTGTCAGCATTAAGCTACATACAGATCACAGCAGTGAACTTAAAAACCATTATACACAAGGTGACATGCTAGATCATATCTCTGTTAATGCCAGAGAACAAGTATTTTGCAGGCCTCTTTGGAAAACAAGTACCTTCTCTGTGTTGCCAAACCCTAAGGAATATTTGATTGAGATTTAAAGTGACATTCACTAATTGTAACCAGTATGATTTGATAGAAATTCAGGGATAGCTTGACATGATTTGAACAGACAAGAATAAAAGGATTGGAATATACCACACAGTACAGACTTCGCAAAGTCAAGCTGCAAAGCCTGAAATCACTTCCACTTAGCAGATGCTGTGTACCAAAAGACTTGAAATCCAGTACAAGAAAATCTGACTGCTGATCCACACAGTTCATCATAAACTAAAGACAGCAGCAAACAAATCCTGCCTGAGAACTCATCTACAGAACTCCATCAAGGTGTCAGATATCTGCCGTATTCTCAGCTCCCTGTTCAGTGTAGGAGATAAATAAAAAAGATTGCTGGACTTGATGACATCTTTACAGAGTGCTTTAAGTACTTGGGCTTGAAAGGAAGAGTTTGACTGTCAAAATTTCTTTACATATACTCTCTACACATATTTGAAGGGCATGAGGCTGGAAAATTTATGGCCATTCTTGCAGATTAAGATGACAACTGAACCCAGCTAATGATGAGTACTTTTGTTTAACAGAAGACACAGCTCACAACAGTGACTGCATTTTGAATTGGTGCAGGAAGGGTTAAATAAATTGTCACTTGGTGAAATTCTGAGATTGACTTTTATGTAGCTACTTGGCTACCAAAAGCAATGAAAAACTGAGGTGACATTCATTGACCTTTCACCCACACCTAATACTGTCTGACAGAAAGACTGTTAACTCAGTCAGTCAATTATAAATCGCCACTCTGCTCTCACTCTGATCAACTAAATCATCTGTGATATTAAAAACAAAACCTCTCTCTATACCTATCTTGGCAATAAGCCCCATGAAAACATTCACTGTTGGATAAGGTTTTGAGCTTGCACCAACCTTTTACAGCTGCGATAAATCACTGTTACCATGGTTTGTGTGACCACAAATTTATCTTAAATGTAGATTAAATTGCATTCGCAGTTATGGCTTGTACTCCAAAATAAGATGGTTACTCTTGTAAACCTTTTAGAGACTATTCCTAACGTTGATTTCAGAACTTTAAGGACCTACTGCTAGCACTGGAGCCTGAAAACAGATACCTTCACAGCTAGAGCATTTATTCGAGCTCAACTATCAAGAAAGAGGGAAGGGGGGAAATAATAATAATAAAATAGCAAAATTAATGCATCAAAACCTCCTCAAATACCTTAAAGTTGAACTGAATAAAAGAGTCAAATACTAATCTCATTTGGAGAATGTCAACAAAATATAAAAACCATTCAGAATACAGTTAACACAACCTGCCCGAGCAATACAAGTACCTTCAAGATTTTATAATGTCACCACAAACACTGATTCTGTCTATAATGCTTTTCAAAATGCCAAACTTGGAGAGAGTTACTTTTTTCTTCAATTTTATATTACGTATTTATAAAACTGGTGACATTATTATATAGCAAGCAATATAAGTTACAACTTTTGCTTGCACATGACTATAAAGCAACAATGGTAGGGCTGCTCTGTACCCTGTACTTTTTTATTTGCCATTTTGTTTAAGACATCTCTTAAGTATTATTTCTGGGTTTGTACCTTTACAGACTGAAAAGGATCATTTTAAAAAGAGGTTTAAAAACTACAAGAAGAATGACTTCATACCTGAGCCTGCCACTTTCAATCTTGTCAAATTATACTGATTTAATACTCGAGTCTGCCACTCTTACTCAGATTGCGTATCACCAACTAGCTGTACAACTCTCACTGAAATCTAGAAGGTCAGTTTACAAATCTCTTTTTCACATTTCTAGGTAATTGCTCACCAAAATCTTTGCAGCAAGCTAGAACATTCTCAAGAGTACCCAATTTACCAATGCAGAGTATCAATGTACGTGTTTTAGAAACCATCATCAGAATAAGCACTTGCTCAGCACCTGAGGAAGTCTCTCACCACTTACAGTGAAATGTAGAAGAGAGAGACTACAGACAACTGCCAGAAATGGACAAGGGGAGAAGACCCTGGACAGAAGTGAGAGAAATACTTAACTGGATCAGACTGAAGTTACGGAAGTGAATTCACTTTTAATCACTTTCTCACACTCCAGATTTCAGTATTCTCTTCAGAAATGCCCAAGAGATAGATGTTTCAATGAATGTCCCAGCAAGTTTCCCCATATTCACCATACTCAAATGAATAACAGATTTAGTAATCTAACCAGAGGTACCACACTTTAACTACTTGATCAACATTCTTCTAAAGCATCCATGGTTATAATTTTATCCAAATGATATAACAGAACTATAAAAAACTCATTGGCCTACAGTCTGGATCATCTCGCTCCCATCTGTAAATCATCAGCTAACCACTGACTAGTCAGCAGTTACACATTTTAGGTAGCAATTTATTACATAATTTTTAAAAAATATATACAAAATCATTGTGGGCTTTAAGAGGCATGCAAGAATAAGATTAACAGATCTTTTATTTAGCTTGAACATAACTTAAATGACATCGCCTGTATCAACAAGCTTATACAGTACATGTGGTATTATTTCATTTGTATTTCTTTAAGCTTGCTACAAGATTTTAAGCTGTATTATCCCAAGGCATATAACATTCAGAAAATTAGTACAATTTCTAGCTGCATAGTTTATGTTGCATAATTTTGTAGCTGCAGAGTTTCAGAAAGAATGAGCAGCAAAAATCAACTACAAACCACCACTAGCCTCATTCATTCCCAAATGAATTATCGCTTAAAGAAGTGAAAATTCTAGTATCTTACTTTCCAACACGCAGGATAACTGTAACAAAATACAGTAAGTTTGCTTTCCAACTGGACTCGGTACTTTACATTCACTTTGTTCCCCAGAGAAGGCTATTGAGCTCCTAATAGTTCCATAAGTTCAAAATAAAAGTTGAGCTCTTGGCCATACTGCTTTGGAATGTTAAGTCTGTGAGCTAGGCAAACTATTTTATATGCTTAGGGGTAGTTTTGAATCTATAATAAAAGGAATTTAAATTCCTAAATCCTACAATGTTATTATGAACCTTCAAGACAGTCTTCTAAACCAGCAATATGCCTTTATCTTTCAATGCCTTCAAGATTTCCTACTATGCTAACAGAGAAAGAATTTTCATAAGGCTGATTATAATTTTCCTAAGCTATGTAGTTTCATAAATATGTTTTCATGAAGAAAGAAGAGCTCTTGAACTTGAGATGGGCAGCTTTTGAATCTAGAAATTAAATTTCCTTAGAGAATATGTGAAAGCCACATTACAGGAAGCTATGGTTCCTGACTTAAGGGAAGTGGAGGGAAGGAAAAAGTAAAATAACAAAATGTGCAGCTGACCGGAACCTGCCAAAAAATCAAAATAAATATTACCCTGCATATATTGTCCTGAGCACACGTTAAATTAAAATGGCAGCTGACATGCACCAAAAAATAAAGAGGGTATGAACTTTGTTCAATATGTCAACACTTAGCAAATTATCAAAACAAAAACAGCAGCATAAGCTAACTACTTTTATCACCATTCATGAGGGCTTTTTTGCATTTTCCTAACATTTAAAATACATTTCTGATTGCTTTTGGTAGTAAACAACACAGAAATATAGGCATTATCTTACTGTTTGATATATTTTATTGTATACTGACAACCCTATTTCTGTATGAAGTACTGCACACTTCAAAGGAATGAGAAAAACCCCACATTGTTTAAAGTCTGTCCCCAATGACCTTATTTCTCCATAACATCAATTAATGTATGCCTGCAGCCCTTTTAATTTACTCCATTGTAAACAGATTTTCTCATTGTACATTTTCTTTTCCAACTTTCCTTTTAAAGCATATTACCTGCTTTGACAGTTTCACTCCCTGCATTTAGATATAGTTTATATAAGTATTGGTTGGTTTCACAAGTTTTGCCTTTTGTATCAACTACATTTACTGCTTCATTGAGATATTTTTATTTCACATAACTTTGTCTCAGACTATTTAACTTGTTTTTATTTTTTATATTGCAGTGTTAACCTTTTTTGAAAATAATGCTGGTTTCATAAGTAGTATTTGTTCCATACTTAAGTTTTAGTTCCTTCACTTCATTTCCTCTCCAATTTTATTAAAAGCTCCCTCTTCAGTTTAGTGCTCACTGTATCTTGTCAATGTACCCATGTCATTCACTCTTTTGCTTACTGGGGATTATGTCTCTAATCACCCTCTGAAGTCCAGAGTATTAAATTTTTCCAGCTTCATTTGTGTCAAAAAGAGGTATGAAGGCCTATAAGTAGATTTTGTATGGCCCAAGTGTAAAAATTTATCAGATGAGGCTTTTTGTTAAACCTCAAAAATATCATCACAGCATAGAAAAAGGATAAATGGAAGTTTTGGCTTTTCTAGACTGATTTTAAAAAGAGAAACATATATTCCAAAATTTAAGGAAAAAAAAAGGTTAAAGTTAAAATAGTTTTTTTTTAATCCAAGAGTGCTTAACAGGCAAATAGTGATTTTTCATTAGCACTCAGTAGATACAAGTGCAAAACGTGAACAGTTTAAAAATATTAAGTGTGGACCAAATCCTGCCAGTCCTTATGCCTGCCAAGGATAACATTTGGCCCTACCTCTTCTCTCCTGAGAAATCAAAAAAAAACCTTTTACATTTTCTGGGTTCAATGCACAAGCATCTAATAAAACTACCAAAATAATGTATGACATATGATGATGACTTGTGTGTTAAGAAACAGCCTTGCCACTGAAGTATCTTAAAATACATCCTTTGTTTAATTCTCTTCTCTCCTAAAACAGACAGTCAAAATCCATGTTCTTATAATTATATCAAAATTATCTTGAATTTTATTATGATATATCAGGATCCACGAGGTCTCTTATTTCTTTATACTTGAAGTTTTTCTTTGAAGGTTAATTCATTGGAACTGCTGGCTTGCTTCTGGGAATCATTTTTTCTGGTGTCCAGACTTTCAAAATATTATTACTGTAATTAACATCTATTTGAAGACTTGATATTCCTTCATTGCCTTCAAAGTTAACTGAATACCTTGTATCTATCAACTTATTCCTCGGATAAAGTGACTGAGGCAACCTCAGAACCATACTGATCCAATACAGCAACCCAGCAGCTATCATGTATAAATCCACCCAAAAAAAAAGGTATGATTTTGTTCTTCAGTAAGGACTGCTGACCTGCTTCAGTACTTGAAAATCCTTTATAATTTTAGCATATTTGCCTCCCCTTCAACTTCTCAGATGATTTATGAAATCCAGCACACCTTCACAGTACTTCATAAATAAACAGTAATCATGACTTTTCATGAAAAAAGTTGAACCACCATAGCAAATTTGTTCACATCCATCACATTCTTATCTTTAACTGCACCTGTTATTTTTAATGCATAACTGACCATATGAAGACATCATTGTCATGTCCTTTATGCTTATCTTCTCATCAGAATCTTTGTCTCCAGATCAACACTTCAAATGCAGAGAGTGGCCACACAGAAGGAAGCTACTTTTCCCAGTTTGGATTCAGTCAGGAATTAATTTCAAAGCTGATCAAGGACCCAAAACCTTACTGAAATGGGATGTGATTCCAGATTCTTCAGATGACAACTACTGGCCAGAAAACACATGGAATGGATAAGAACTTCCCAAAAGGCAAAACAGTGCACAAGTATTTTTCTTTGTGTTACACATATTCTAATGCACAATTACTGGGTACTCCTGTGGCTTGCAGGTTTACTTGTAGACTTACTTTGCTGTAGGTAGTAGGCCAGACATACTGGCTGGCACCAGCTACAGCTAGAAGACCACCTAAAAGCGTTAAATAAGTTTCAACTAAAACCACTCCAGCAGCAAAGGAGAAGAAATGGGGAAAAAAATTTTTTTTAAAAAGTACATTCCTACCATCTTCTGTGAAACACAATTCTTTTAGAAAGAGAGAAATATACCACTTCCCCTTCCTGGCTAATGAAATTTCACAAGAGAAGCAGCTTGTAACAACCTGAAAATGAAAGTATTTATTTGAAGATTGTCCACTTAGAAGGTGCAACCCTGAAGATAAAGGGCCTACTTCAAAGGTGCCCTACAGAGATGGTTGAGAGGCAACAGTGACTTTTTAAACTCAAGTCTGAGACCCTGTTCACGGCTTAAACAAACTAGGACAAATCTAATCCCCTTAATTCTGACCTGAACTAGTATAAAACTTTAATTCTCTGATGACATAATGCTGCTTACAATAACTTCTTTATTTCAGTAGAAGGATGTTTAACCTGTATGTGTCAGTTCAAATACTCCATATATCTTGTATCTGGTACAGCATGATGTTGAAATTAAAATTCACTGTAGTAAATCAAGCTAATATGAATGAATCTGTCCTAAGAATCCATTAAGTGTCAAAGACAGAAGTTTGTCAGAAGTCTTAAGTAACAGCTGTGATTAACCTGTTTCCAAAAGTAAGTTAGCTGATTTTTAAAAACACTTCTGAATCCCTCTCAGTTCCACTCTTTCACATTCTATTCAAGAAAACTTTCAGTGAACATTTCAGAACTGATCCTAGTAAATATATAAAATCATTTCATCCCAGGTACTTGCAAGATGTATGATTAGTTCACTATCATGAGCTCAGTCATGTCACACCATAAACCAGAGATGCACAATAATAAAATACTACAAAGGCTATCAAGAACACTGATGAATTCTGTATACAGAAATAACATAGAATCCTGCTCAGTTTCTGAACTAACAACTAACACATAAACCTGTGTCAAGTAATTTACAAATATGTATGACAGAGCTGTGAGTTGGCCAGAGCTCTGAAGATCTGCCTAGTGCATTTGCTCCCCAGAGAACTCAAAGGTCTTTATACCATGGAAGGCAGAATAGAAATAAGAACAGGTTTAACTTAGCTTCCATACAGTTAGTTGGGGAATTCGGTGTTTGTTTTTTGGTTGTTGGGTTGGGGTTTTTTTCCCCCTTGTTTGTTTGAGAATGGGGTTTTGGAAATTCATTGCATTTGGCTCCCATCAAAATCTGCACGATCCCTTCTGGTCTTTCAGTGAGCACCACGGCATCCCCATGTTGGTATCCTGTTGAGTTCAGGACACAAAATGCGTTTTGAGGGGAATCCTGCCTTTCACCACTTCTGTGCTCTGGTCTGCAGCACAGAACAGTGTCCAAGTGCACTGATGGGATTTCTTGTGGGTGAAATCAAGTTCAAGCTCTCTGCGCTTCACAAAAATTCACTTAATGCCCTTCAAAAGGAGAGGGGCACTCAGTCTGTGAGACCAGAATAGAACTAGTCTGAAATTAAATACAAGAACACAGTCCCCCTCATCCCCAAAGTATGTATAATAGAGTTCTACAGCAGCATTTAAACACTCCAAAGTAAGAACTGAAACCTCTCTTGGATGGACATCCAGTCCTCAGCACTAGCTCTTTCACACCATGGATCAACAGCTCTGCCTGCTCTGGGGCCCTGCACAAACATCCTGGGCTGCCAGGCACCACTTACCATTACCTCTCCTGCCTAGCTGCTGGGCACCTGGAAATCCCAGGCAAACAGCCAGTTTTACCTCACACAAAATTTCCAGAAAGATTAAGGCACCATACCTTCTCGCCCTCAAGCATCATCACAGCAGCTTTTATTTTACATAGTGATGAAGAAAAGTAAATACTTCCTTCTGGTCACCACCACCCCCATCCCAGGGGATGCCAAATGAAAGGACAGCAGATGCTTAATTAACTTACTTATATATTACTGAGCTTCCATGCTTGGCAGGAACTTCTCGGAAACACTGGAAACCTGTGACAACTGGCTTCCCCCAGATCCTTCCCTCACACCTCTGCCATGAGCCCTACAGACCACTCATTCGGCCAGGCCTGGGAAAGCAATGAAGTAATGTTTTTGTTTATCATCAGGAGCTATTGCCATTTATTCACATTATCCATGACTTTTTATGCATAAAAAGAATACATTGTTTGGCCATTTCCCTTACAACATGTGCAAGAAATCCAGCATAATCAATCTTCTTTGTATTACTATAATGGAAGAAAATGGTAATAACATGGTATGTAGATGTGAAAATGCAATAGGACTGAACGGAGGTGTAGATGAATCATTAAGCCTTCCCTCTGCAACTGAAGAAAATCCATTACTTACTTGAAGGATGACACTTCACTACATTGACAACAGTCATCTGAATCTGTATGATATTTAGCAGTTTACTGCTTTCCTACAAGCTATGCATCACCACTGCTCCCTGATTTTTCTTTTTTTCCTATCATCTCAAAAATAATAAACCTGCAACCTAACACATACTCTTCAAATGACAGAATTTAGAGACATAGTATTTGCCTAGAGGATCATTGGTCTGACTCAGCAAGGTGTTTTGTTCTGTGAGGTTTTTTTATTGTGCCTAAATATTGAATGTCATTTATGAACAAATTCAACATGTATCTTACCAGCACAAAAATGATACCATGAGCTTTCAAAATACAACATGAAGTTTGATTCCACAAATCATTTGTATCATAAATATAACAAAATTTTCACTTGTTTTCAACTACACACTCAGAACAATAAATATTACAGGTAAAACCATCATAAATTTAGCTTGAGACCAGACTACAGATTCTGGTAAATGCTAAAATTAAGTCAACTTGCACATTGTCCAGGTACTCAAACCAAAAGACAAATACTGTAATATTGCCTTTTTGTCAGACTACACAGAACACCTTGTGGGTAACTTCAAATTTGTGTTTTGAGTATCTTCAAAAATAGCAAAGCAATGAACATTATTTTAGAAAATGGATCTTGACTTTGAATACTGGACCAATTACATAGAGTTGATTTCTCACTACAGAAAATGGGAATTCATCTCCCTCACACACATGATTAAAATGAATCAACTACCATGTTATCATCTTGCACTAAAGGATCTATTGATTTTTTTTTGTCAGACTGGTATGAGTAAGTTTCCCCTTTCTATATTCATTAAAGTAAAATAAGATTTTATTCACCTTGAAAGAACACAGAACATGTTCTGCACTCTCTGTTCTTGACACGAGTCCCAAAACCTGCAGTTATCACTCTCATCAGGCTCATAATTTAAATGCCTAAATAAAATAATGTACAGAAGATGTGTCCTGGGAAGAATTAAATTCAGAAAAAGCTTGTTTTCAGCCATTCAGTATCTTTTGATTTTATTGGAAATCCCCAGAGTGTGAGTTTTGCTACTCACGTGCTAGCTCCTGTTGTCAGTTTGTATTTTCACAGCTTGGCTGTTGTCAAGATTTATTGACAATAACATTTGGATATACACTCCATCAAAATGCTGTATAAATACGTATTGTATTAAATCAGACTAACGCTCTTTGATCATACATGCTGTACCATAAAACTGTCATATACAGACCTCATTAATGGTGCCATTAAACTGATGTGACTTTTTCTATGAAAATGCTACCTGTTTGCAGAAATGGGCAGTAATCATTTTTACCAACACTGGAATATCAGGATAGCATCTGAAGACACTACAGATGAAGTGAAGAGCTCCAAACAGAGCAAGGGAACAGCAGCTTCCTTTAATGCCTGCAACATGGATGCCATAAAAACATTTCAAGGTCCTGCTACTGAATGCTGGCAAAGGACTTTGCTCTTGAATACTTTTATAATAGTTTGCACATTGTCTAGAAAAGCCAGGCAGGCAGTTTTAAGTTACTGAGGAGAAAAGAGCTTGCTGGTTTTAAGTGTTTCAAGTATTCTGGGTTGTTTGGGTTTGGGGTTTTTTTAATTTTATTTTTAAGCATAACCCCTCCCCTCCAGCAGCTATGCATCATATTCTAATTTAATTCCAAATGATTAGTGGTGATGTTTTACACAGCAGAAAACTTAAGGCTAGCTGTACTGTGAAACACCCTCCAAAAATATTTAAAAATATTTTAAAAATTGAAGCAACAGAAATTTAACTGTCTAGAAAACATTCATGATTAAAGAATTGTCAAGCATTAAGATTTCTCCTTTCCCCTAATACTCTGGATTACTCCTTTGGGTTTAGAATTTTGGTATAATATATTGTGTATACTTATACCTGTTACACAAGAGATTATTCAATAATACAAAAATGCTCCTAGATTACATAAGAATTTACTAGGCAATCCTCAGGGTGATTTCTTTCAAATATTTGTCATTTCAGTAAGTAAAACATACTAATTTCACACACACAAGTCATAGTTGTAGATTCTCCAACTAGCTGTAAACATGATTGAAAGCAATGTGAAAAGAGCAGACATCTAACCTGTTTAGCCTATCTTTATAAATTATAACATACTACTTTCATTGTTGTATAAATAATTTAAAAAATTCTAAGACGAAGAGGAAACCTTTTAGTATGGCTAAAAGGACACACTTCCTAGTACAGGAAAGAAACAGTGCCAAATTACAGAAATCACTGTGGGGTTTTTTTTTAATTTAAAATACAGGGTACAGAGGAAGACTTTAAAAACAGTAGCTACTGAAACATTAAACTTAACAAGTAACTTAAAGATCAAAGGATGGTAATACTCAAATCACAAAGCTCTTCATGACTTTCATCTCTGCAATAAAGCTGCTATACACTGACTTAGAGCTATATGGGCTTTTAGTAGCATCCCTTTACCAACACCCACCACCCAATAAAAATCCTACTGGCAGCAACAGACAGGGAAAACTGAAATAAAGTTTATTAAAGCACGCAGACACAGTCTGATTATTTTTTAACTGCAGCTTCTTATGCTAATTACCTACAAAACATTGACAACAAAAAAAAAATTAAATGGTGAGGATTAAATTTGAAGGAGAAATTGAATTGGTTGGGTAACATCAAGCAATAAACAAACACCATTAAAATCACTGGCTTTGACATCTCAAGAGTTAAATTCGAGTCAGAGTATTTGGCAGAAATCAAAGCAGAACTATTCACAGATGAAGTACACCTGGAGAACACGTTTGCCAGAGACAAGCCAAAAGACACTTACTTAGAAACTATCCAGTGTTGAGTATTTCCAAATACACAATGTACTACTGTACAGTCAACAAAATTATTTTGATACTACCATGATTCTACTTCTTTATTAAAAAAATTAGTTACATTTTTGTAAGTATTCTACTAGATTGGGAGCTTCTCCCATACAGAAAGAAACATTGCATAGATTTTCTTGATATTTCTAGGTCCATACCCAAAAACACTTAAATCACGGTTTTGTTAGTATAATACATAAGTGTGTGCACATCCATACTAGAAGATGATTTTCACCAGTTCATTTATTTTAATGCCCAGAAGAGATGTGACCATGTCACCTAACGCAAAGAATCTCTCCCAGTAAA